AGCTGTCAAAAGCATGAAATTTGCTGAAATTGCGCCACGTTGCACCAAATGCCCAGCCAGCCTCAAAATTTTCTCAGGTGTGTTAATTTTGGTGAGAAATGCATGCCACGTTGCCCACCTGCAGTTTGCGCCATTCGGCAAAACATTCAGACGCCAACTGTAGTGCCTAGAATGTATTTAAAATATAAGCAGATTAAGTAATAACGCTGCACGTCCATCGGTCTGTTCACCGTAGTGGATACTTATCGGCGGGACGATGGAACTTTAAGACAAAATGCATTGCTGTAGCCACCAACGCATCGCGGTAATTGTAAATTTCCTAGCGTGAAAACGCGAATATGGCTTGTTAGGAACTAAAGCTGAAAGCGTATGCCACATTTTTCTCGCGCGAACAAGCTCAATGTGCTGCGAACAGCGGCACTACCAGCGACCACGTCGATCGCCTCACCAGTGGCACATAAAACTTTTTTTTTTTTTGCTTTTGAAGTTGCATCGTCCTTGCAGTTGCGTCATCTTGGCCACGGTCCTGGCGATAGACGACGTCTGGTACCGTCGCCAGGCCAACAGGCGCGTGTGGTTGTTACTTTACTTGGCCAGGCACGCTTTCCAAGGGAGCCAAAGCGGCACCTACCCCACCTCCCTCCCCCCGGTGAAAAAGAAAAAAGTTAGGAAGTTGGGGGAGATGTAGTTAGAAAATTTCTTGGCATTGGTTCTAACTCGTGCAAAGAATACTGCTTAAGCCACCTTTGTTGCAGTACACTGGAGCGCAGCAGAAAAGTGTATTGAGATTTGGAAGAAGCTGCTGGCGCTATTCTCAGAACACTGCACATTTTACTAGGTTACTAATGCGTTCTAACCGTGCAAAGAATACTGCTTATGCCACCTTTGTTGCAGTACACTGGAGCACAGCAGAAAAGTGTATTGAGATTTGGAAAAAGGTGCTGGCGGTATTTTCAGAACACTGCACATTTTACTAGGTTACTAATGCGTTTGTACGCCGCACAATTCTAAGTGACAGTATAATAACTGACGTCTAAATAAGCTACTGGCAATCATAAGGAGCAGTGCATGACATTTCTGGTTTCCTAACTAAACTGAGCAAGTTTTTTGTTTTTTTTTCGCCACCCTTACTCTTCCTTTGAGTTTGGCAGATCTGTATTTAAATTTTCAGAGTCTCTCAAATTATTTGACACGTGCAGCAAATGCTAATGTGGGCTTCACCACTGTTTTCTCTTGGGATGGTTCAAAATACTACATTCATTGAAATAGCAGTTTTCATGTTCACTTGGCCTGATTTAGAAGATGTCGAATGGTTTATACATTTTTTTTTTTCACTATGCAAGCCTTCTTATTTACACTGCTTCAGATTTGGTATTTCATAATTTTAAAAAATGCATGATTTTTTCTTGAAACCGGCTCTAAACTTGCATTTTAGTGCTTCAAAAGTAACATCTTGCTGCTCCGAAAATCGCTCCAAATTGTATTTTGGCTGTTGCACCCCTGCATTGTCATTTCACCCTTCAGTGATCTGAACTAGAGATATCTATATAAAAACAATGTCACAGTTTCGCCGCAAGGGCGAAGCAATGAATGTAATAGCAACAACTTAGAATGTGACGTTGACAACGGCAAGCAGATCGAAACGAACTAGGGGGCCGCTCACGCACTAATGACGCACGAATACAACACCCACAGGACAAGAGCCAACTAACAATGTTTACACCTCAACACTTAACGTGCTGTTTAAACAAGGACACATGAAACGTAATCATAGCTGCAGATATGAGTGCGAACTAACAAGTGTCCCAGTTGTTGCTTCTCTGTGTATGAAAAGCGTGCTTTTTTCGCAAACAGGGCCTGTCCAGAGAGCGAAGCGATCTTTGTGTGTCCAGCCACTAAACGCAATCGTTCCGGTCAAAGTCCAAGGCGCGCGATTCTCCCCCACCCCAGCAAAAATGCGCGATAAGGCCCCGTCCCTCCGCGGAGCAAAGCACGCGTGGGAGATGAGCGTGCATCGGCGCATCATGACGAGCTGGTCGCTGACCTTTACTTCGAGCCTGCTCATTACACCATCTTGTTGGTAATGCTGAAGACACGATAGTTCCCCCTGAGATGCCCATCAGCAGCTATAAGTGGTAGATTTAGGTAGCTTGCCGTTTGAACATAGAAATAGGTGCTTCTCCGTGGCTCATTAGTTATTGCCTCGCACTCACGACTCAGAGATCCCAAGTTTGATTCCCCGCACTGGATTATTTTTCTTTTTTGTGTTTACATATATATAGATGCGTAAACATACATGGTGAGTGACGATGACGCCGACGGTAAAATCCAGCTGAGAGTGTTCATACAATTGCTGTCCCAATAAAAATATCACGCCCAGCAATACAGTCGCAGAGCTAACGATGTCCACTGATGTGACCTCTAATGACGACAAACCCTGCCATTGTCAGGTCAACACCAGACTTCTTTGATGGTGCGGGCTGCTGTCATTGAGCATAGTTCGTCATGGGATGTTCGAAGGTTCAGCTTCAAGTTATAAGGATCCAATTTTTGCACAAAATGCACTCCCAAAATATGTAATTTTTTTATTGCTGAAATGAGTTCTTCAGACAATTAATTTTTTTTAAGAAAAAAGTTGTCTAAAGTTTTTTGCGTGACCGTAAAGTGACAAAAAGCTCATTTTGTTTCATACGCATGGTTTTTTGGTAGTTATATTGGGTAAAATTTGAAAAGAATAACAACTTATATATATATTTTTTTTTATATAAGCCCCGCCGCGGTGGTCTAGTGGCTAAGGTACTCGGCTGCTGACCCGCAGGTCGCGGAATCGAATCCCGGCTGTGGCGGCTGCGTTTCCGATGGAGGCGGAAACGTTGTAGGCCCGTGTGCTCAGATTTGGGCGCACGTTAAAGAACCCCAGGTGGTCAAAATTTCCGCAGCCCTCCACTACGGCGTCTCTCATAATCATATGGTGGTTTTGGGACGTTAAACCCCACATATCAATCAATCATCAATAGATTTTTTTATAAATAAAATATATGCATTTTATAATAAACATAGCTCACAGACATACAAAAATAAGTGCACTAGAGTACTTTTATGACAAAAGTGTAGTTGCTCTAACACTAATCATTGGGGAATGGTTGCCCCGCCACGGTGGTCTAGTCGCTAAGGTACTCGGCTGCTGACCCGCAAGTCGCGGGATCAAATCTTGGCTGTGGTGGCTGCATTTCCGATGGAGGCGGAAATCTTGTAGGCTGGTGTACTCAGATTCGGGTGAACGTTAAAGAACCCAAGGAGGTAGAAATTTCCGGAGCTTTCCACTACGGCATCTCTCATAATCATATGGTGGTTTTGGTACGTTCAACCCCACAAATCAATCAATCATTGGGGAATGGTCACCTTTGATCTGATTCAAATTATATCACCATGCACATTCTATTCATGTATGGACTCGTAAGGGAATCCTTGTCTGATGAACTGAAATTCGTTGAATCGGATTCTGATTTGGCACTTAGGGGATATTCAACATAGGAAGAATCGCCGCTCGACTCCTTCGCACCAGAGCTTCTGTAGCATAAGCGTACTGTGTGAGTGAGTGCACAGAAGAAAACGGTGCGGTTGTGCTCCTGTTTTTACGTGATTTGGACTGGACTGCAGTGCCTTGCAGCTCAAACTGAAAGAAAATTGATTTAGATTTTTATGTAATACCCCTGTCACAGGAGCGCCAGTGAACTCCGTTTAACTCCCTCGTCTTTACAACATTGGAGATGTAGCCTGTGTCACACGGTCTCCCTTACGTCAAGTACGTTAAACGAAGCTTTTTGTAGAGGGAGTTCAGCGATCTTCGTAGCGGTGGCAGGGACTACTGTCATCCCCAGTAATCTGTACATATGGAGAAAACTGTAAACACAAAACAGCTGTAGTCCACACATTAACAAACTTTATTAAAAGTTCTTTCACTGTATAATTCACTCATAACATGCGTTTAACGATAAGGAAATGCCTGTACAAGTTTATGTACTCTACACACTATGCCTCGCCAAAAGCCACCGTGTCGCCATTTTGAAAAAAGTTTCTCAGAGTCCGGGCCAGCATGCCAGCTATCCTACCCTTGTGCATCGTGGTGTTTAAATCTCTGCTACAGGATCACTCCTTATTGTTGTGCTGCTTATTCCACTTGACTGCCAAAATTAATAGAAGTGGTTTACGTGGGTTTTCTTCCTTTTTCCTCTACGCCGGTAGTCGTGCCGACGCTACATGCGAACTGTCATGTAACCCATCCACAGCAAACGAAGAAAAGTGTAAAGTTAAGGGCTTGTGTCTCTTGTTACGCACAATATTAATGAGAACTCACACACAATAACACCAGGGACAGTACAGGGGATGTTATTAGAAGTGATTGTAATGTAAATTTTAAGAAAGAAAAGTGCACGAAAAGATTACTCAAAGTGTGCAGGAACCGAACCTGCGACCTTCGAACAATGGGTTTGATGCTCTACTAAGTGAGCTACCACAGCCGCTATCCCCCCGTTTACGTTATAGGGTATATATATGCTTCTCAAACATGGGAGCGTCAATCTGTACCACCTGTTGCCATGGCGGCAAGTGCCAAGTGCCATGGCAACAGGTGGCACTGACTGACACTCCCAAAATTAAGACTAGAGTGCATACATGGTGAACTCTGTTTTGATACTGGTTATATGAGCTTGTTAATATGCACACATAGTTCTGTGAACAGTGCAGATAGTATTAAAAGCCAGTGTCTGTGTCGTTCATTTCGTATTTGGTTTATTGAGTACACTCGAATGTACCAGATAGGCTTATGTAATTATCTCTGATGTGGTTGTTTATCTTAGAGGTTACTACTATGAAAAACCACAGAGCTGCATTTTTTTTATGCCTTTGACAAGAGGCTGAATTTCTCGTAGCTACATGCATATCATTTGAACTGCTTAAAATTTGCCACACATTTTTTTTTCCTTTTTTTCTCTTTTCAGGGTACTGAACAGGCTACAAATGCAAAGTCAATGAAGAAACTAGTGCCTGATTAAGGTAATGTACAAGTACTGCCGTCTCTACGAAATCTCTAGCAACCTAACTCGGTTTTAATACTGGTCAAGGGAACAGGAAAATATGTCCTATTTAACAGGAGTTTCATTTACTGTGAGGTGAACAAGGGTGCAGGAGACAAGTATAAACCTAATCTTGGCAGAAGCACTTCTTTTTTTAAGCAGCAGTTTTGTTTAAGTGATTTCTGTTTAGCGAGAGTGTACTGTACTTAAAGGGATCTTGAAACAAACATCAGACTTCCCGGCTGCAATTGTTTCTGCTTCAAAAAAGATGAGACATACCATTTCTGAAATATTTCGGCATAATATCTAGTCTGTAATTAATGACGGCTGTTTGTAGTCGTAGTGTTTTTTGGCTTGCTACCGACAATGCGGCACCGCTGGTCGCTTTGGGCACTAACATGTGACATCAGTGAAACTTCAGAGTAAGAGAAGTTACAAACAAAATGGCACCATGGCAACAGGTGGTGCAGACTGACACTCCTACGTTTAATACACATATATACTCAATAAAGTGGACGGGGGGCTAGCTGCCGTGGCAGCTCAATTGGCAGAGCACCAGACGCGTCATTCAAAGGTTGCAGGTTCGCTCCCTGGCAATGTCAATTTATCTTTTCATCCACTTTTCTTTTTTCAAATTCACATTACAATTACTTCTAATAACATCCCCTATACTTTTCCTGGCATTATTGTCTAATAGTTCTCAGTATCATACACAGCAATGGCTTCGTGTAGTGAACGCGAGACCTGTGGTCATTCGATATTGTAAAGAGTGTTGTTGATCTACGTGGTAATGCAATTTCGTAGAGGTCGGAGACAACCTGCAGTGTGTTTGACAATCGGCGTACGTAGAAAAAACGTGTACGAAAACAAACGTGCAGTATTGCCAGCATTCCTGTCAATATTAGTGCCAACTTGCTTGCAGGTATGCGCATCTGTGATAAAAGCCAAAACATTTTTTCTTGTTGCCATGCTAATAAATTATAGTTTTATAATCACACGTACAATTGCAAATGTTTTCAGATGTATTGGACACGAAATTTTGCATACAGAGAAGGTGCTGCAGCGCCTGATGGGCCCTTTGCGGCTTCTGTCCAAAGCTTGCAAAATTGCCGTGTGACATGCGCGAAAATCCATCTCCATCCAGCTCCCTAGGGGATTTTTATGTTGATGGAGTTCAACAGAGTTCGGTGGGGGTTGTGTGACAAGGGTATAAATTTTCTTGCTTTAACGCTACAAACTGTGCGGTCACTGTGGATCAATACCAACATCACCACCCTTGCCATGTGATGCAAACAGCATTTTGAAGGCACAATGTGGAGTATGTACATGGTGTACTCGGTTTTGATACTGGTTATGTGGGCTTGTTGGTGTGCACACTTTGTTCTGTGAAGAGTGTCGATAGTATTGGATGTCAGTACCTGTGTCGTTTATTTCGTATTCTGTTTACCGAGTACACTCGAATTCAGTAGATAGTCTTGTGTAATTAGTATTCCTGATGTGGTTGTATTACTTAGGGCTTACTGCGATGAACAACTATAGAGCTGCATTTCAATAACGCTTTTGACAGTAAGCTGAATTTTTTGTAACTACGTGCGTACTCATTTGAACTGCTTCAAATTGGCCTCACATTTTTCTTTGTCCTTTTTTTTCTTCCTATTTCAGGGTACTGAACAGGCTACAAATGCGATGAATAAACTAGTGTCTGATCAAGGTAATGTATAAATACTGCAGTTTCTACAAAAACATTTTGCAGCCTAACTCTGTTTTAATACTGGTCAAGGGACCAGGAAAATATGTTCTATTCAACAGGAGTTACGTTTCCTAAGCGGCAAACAAGGGTGCAGAATACAAGTACAAGCCCAATCTTGGCTGAAGCACTTGTTTCATTTAAGCAGCAGTTTCGTTAACTGAGAGTCTACCGTACATAAAGGGGTCGTGAAACAAAAATTAAACTTCCTGGTTACGATTTTTTCTATTCAAATAAGAATAAAACATACTGAATCCAAAATATTTCGACACAATATCTAATCTGTAATTAATGACGCCTGTTTGAAACCACAATTTTTTTGTGCTCGCTAGCGACCATGCGGCACCATTGGCTGCTTTAGGCACTTACATACAACGTCAGTGAAACGTCAGAGTGAAAGAAGTCACAAACAGAATACTAGCTTTATTTTTCTCTAAAGTAATAGATTTATAAGAACCTAGAAAAGAAAAAAAAACTAACAGAGCAGTTTTTGCGCTTTGAGTTACATGCTGTGCAATTACAGTGAATTATTTGTGCGGTTCCATTTTGCAAGTACATCTGTGCTCTGTCAAATGTATATCCTTGCCTTCCCACCACTTGCCTCGGCTTGATTGGTGCAGTCAGTGCTGCATCCCCAGTTTTTTTGTTTTTTTTTTAGCATCAGGTTGTGTTCTGTTGTGTGTTCTGGATGGCTTAGTCCTCATTATGCCAACGGTGTGCGACGTCAGACAGTGTCGCACAACTTGTGAAAGCCCAAACAATGTTTACTCTCACAAGATGACCAGCGAGCCACAGCACAGAGCAATAGGGCTACGAGCTATCAACCGCGATGGTCTTGATGGTATGGGCATACAGAGTGGAGGCTCGTGGTCAGGGCTTCTGAAGGCAATGGTTCTGCCATGCGGTCTGCATACAAGTGCTTCCAGGGCACAGGCTTCTTCACCACTGTCTCCGCCCCCGCTGTCTTGATCTGATGATGGCCGATCTCGCACTTGCATGGGTGCGTTGGCGTACGGCTTGAAGCCGAAGAGCCGGCTTTGTTCTAGCAGACGCGCTGTAGTTCGGGAAGGTCGGCCACCCTACGCTGTGTGTCCACGACATTGTGGTATTATGGGGGTGACAGTGCTGTAATCAAAACAGTATGATGCTACTCACCACAATCAACTAAGGCTCAAAAAGATTGCTGCGTCGTCATCATGTTTTGTCGATGACAGAGGCTTTTTGTTGGCTTTCCTAAAGGGACATCAGCTGCACAGTTGACGGAAACGTGAGCTGGGAAAACGAACGTGTGCTTTTTTTTAGCTTTTCCCTTAGCCCAGACGATCAATCGAGTCGAGGCGTAGTATTTAATGGACAGCCAGGATTTTGAATACACAGGAAGTAAAAAGTTTCTGAAAACGTTGCAGGACCCTTTTAACTATGGGGACATGAGGCAGATACAGAGTATATCAGAGCAATATTATATTGTGACAGAGTGACTGCATTGCTTACATTATGGGTTTACATTATGTTGAGCTTCCATGATATGTTGTGCATGATACCATACACACACAAAAAAAGAAGCAATGTTCTGGAAACGTATATAATACAAATGTGTGGGTCTAATTGGGCAAAAGTTCTGCTAAATAGTAAAAGAACAGCTGCGTTGTTCAGCTCTATCTCAAATGAATTTATTAGTTTAACCCTTAGTTTAAGAAGTCTTTGATAAAAAGCTTGCATTTTGTTTGTGACTCTGCTAGAACGAGATCCTTTTCTAGCTTAGCAACATGTGTTTTTTTTTAGTTGGTTCATACTTGTTGCGAAACGAGTGAGCACTAAGAAAGGGACTCATAAACAAAAGGCGCAACGGACGTGCGCTTTGAGCACCTGTCCTTTGTGCCTCTTGTTTATGTTCCCATTTCTTAGTGTTCGTTTGTTTCTTTTTCTAGTACTTAGATGACCTTGCGGCAGCGTAAACAACCAAACTCGTTGAGGTACCTCTTTAATACACCCAACGCATCATATCAGGCGTTTTCCCAGCATATCCAGCTGCAATGTTGTGAAAACGGCGTGTGAAAAGTGAATTCTAATACATGGGTACCTATAGGCTTTCAACTGGGACTGGATGCCAGATATGTGTGAAAACATATAAATGAGGAATGTGTAAGCAGAGTTCTACTGTACTTGCATTGCACAACTTTGTAAGTATCAATCTCTTTAAACCGAAATGTATAAAGCTGATTTCCCCATAAGGTTGGATTTGTGTTGAGAAGTGAGGACACCTTGTGAGAGGACATCTCCATACTGTGTTGAGAAGAAGTGAGGGCATCTCCTGAGAATGAAATAGTGCAGGTAATTGTTAGTGGCAGACATAAATGTGTGGGCGGTAATTATTTTTGTATAGGAAACGATTTGTTGTTTTAATTGGTGTCCAGGTTGTACACAGTGAGAGTAAGAGCAATTCGAAAGGGGAAGCAATGATCACTTCTGGGAATTTTCTTGTCCAGCATTTTTAAGACTGGTATGCTTGTCTTCTGTTAAGATATTGAAGAAAAATTTGATACTAAAGTACTAGAACTGACAGCTGGCTAAAGTATTTATCTGCACTATGTTTGTGGTTAAAACCTGTGGATTGCTGCTGCTATTCTTTACAGATAGCACTGCTGCAAAGTTCTACAAGCAAGGCTACTGATTGCCATTGCTTTCTGTTTGTCAGTGCTCAAGGGAGGACCATGATGGATTCATTGGGATGCTTCAATGGACCTGTGTGTTTACATTGTTTCTATCATGTTAATAAATGATTGCTATATTTGTACTTTGGTAAGTTCGAGTGTCTCTGCTCTTTGCTGATGGCTCTTCTGGTTTGAATTGAGGTCAGCGCCAGGGTTTCGCTTATGGGAAAGCAGCTACAAAAAGAGAAGGCTCTTCAAGTGGGCAACACTGCCCCTGAGAAATTTAGTGGTAGGATCATCTTTCTGGCTTTTCAGGGGGTAGTGAAGAGGTGACACTGGTCAAAATAAATTCCTAGAGAGGTGTTTCCCTGAAACAAAAAATTGGGCATGGCATGGCACCATGTACGCAATATCATGGCCATTGGCTGGTTTGAGCTGCATAGATACTGATGGTGCCGCAACAGGGCGCCACGTGCCCTTGCTCACAACCATACTGATGGTGAGGCCTGCGTTCTGAGAAGAAAAAGAAGTGCTCATGATCATGACCTTGGTGCTACAGCTCTGGGCTTCAGCCATAAGAACGCCCCCGCAGTAGAGGTCTAATGGCTAGGGTACTTGGCTGCTGACCTGCAGGGTGCAGGATCAAATCCCGGCTGCGACGACTGCATTTTCGATGGAGGCTAAAATGCTGTAGGCCCATGTGCTCAGATTTGGGTGCACGTTAAAGAACCCCAGGTGGTCAAAATTTTCGGAGTCCTCCACTGCGGCATCTCTAATAATGATATGGTGGTTTGGGGACGTTAAACCCTACATATCAGCCATAGGAACACTTTTAATGTCGTTTGCAGTTACCTTCATGAAAGAAAAGAATGCGACATTGAATTTCTACTTTTGAAGTATTATTGTAGCACTAATAGGCTAATTACAAACAGAAACCTTCATGTTTTTGTTATAACTAATTTCTATTGAAGATAAATACAATATCTTATCTGAATGAAAAAAGTTATATTGTATTTTTGTGTTTTTCAGTACTTATTTTTCTCTGTTTTATTATTGTTACGGGTCCCGTTAATTAGGGAGGCGATCGCCGGGCTAATTACAAGGGCCGAAGTATCAGCCCCCCGAACCGCACCACGAAAGCGTGGACAATTTAGAAGTGGTCCTTTTTGGCGCGCCAGCGGACGCTGGCTGTGGCCCAAAACAAGTCAGAGCCGAGAGTTGATAAACAAAACAGAAATATATTCTCAATAATGGCAGATCAAAAAACAATACACAAGTATGCACACTCCACAATAGTTGAATACAATATGTCACCCACCAAACAACGTACTACACAGTACAATCAGCCACACTCGAAACAACGGACACAGACAACAATACGCACTACAATGCAGTCGCATGCATTGAACGACCAAGACACTTAAAGACTAAAGAGATAGAAAACCTATTCAGTCCAAAGTTCTTGGAACAACAGTCTAGATGATACTCTTCCGAGAATCACTCACTCAAAGTCCAGCGTTGTTGTCGTTCCGCGGCCCCCGAAGTTTCTCTTCCAGGAAACCTCACGTCTTCAATAGGCCACTCTCCAAGCTTCAAACTTCTTCGCCGGAAACACGTCGGCTTCACACACGCAGCTGTTGCCACGCGCCTTCGCTCGATAGCGGTAAACACGCACTCTTGCCTGTAGCTCGAGTCGTCACCCCTCAGGTGGAAATCATCTTCTCCTGCTTTGTCTCCACGGACAAAACCTTCGCCGACTACACGGCGGAATCCCTACGTGCTCTGGCACTAACTTCCGTCTTCTCCTGATGTTTCGTCTCGACTTCCGCGCGAGATTCCAGAAAGTTCTCATCATTTCGTCGGCGCGATGCGCAGCGAAGGCTGGGGGAAAGGTCGAGACGATACGAGGGCTGTCCGCGACGGATGACTCAACCCGGCATTACCACGCCCCTTTCCATCTAGAAATTTCGAGTGCTTGCTCGGCCGCCGATGTGGGGTGAGGAGGTTCGTCGGCGAACCCACGCTTCCGAGGGAGAGAGTCGCGCGCCCGGGGAGTCTGGATGTTTGTTTTCTTTTTTTATATCGTTGGCCTCGCGGCGTCTCTCCCGCGCGTTATCGTGAGAATTTGGTGGCGCGCCCTTTTTGAGCGCTCGTTTTGTGACAATTATCAACATGTATTGCTTGAAATGTCTAAAAAATTCATATCAATTCTTGGCCAATTTTTCCGAGTGAGTATGAGTCATGATGGAGGCCTCATCATCATTATCATGATGCTGTGTGACATAACTTGTTCCTCCAGGCCTTCCTCCCTGCTTAGTTTTCAGTGCACTGCTCTAAATGAGAGCAGGGAGAAAGCAATTGCAGCGGGCCACAAATCTACTTCACTCCACTCATACTTGGCGGATTCCAATAATTTGTGCTGCTGATAATTTTGTCGACATTAAATAAAGACCTGATGATGTCACATAATGCAAATTTGAATGTACAGATATAACCAATGGTCAGTGTTAAATTCGTGCTATGCAGTAATAATTAGTAGTTAGGGCTATGAAATTTTAACCATTTGCACAGTAACGATTGGTCAGTTCGAGTTTGCTATCTCTAACTGACAAGAATTGCTACCAAGAGATGGTGAATTCATTATATTACATCTTTCCAAATGCTTTCTCTGCCAACAGTCTACGATGGCACTACTGTGAAGCAACTCTATGTCGCAGTGCGAAAAGGGGATGCGTATCAAAGGGCAAGATCCATTTCCTCGCAGCAAGCGGAGCGCACTTCATGCAGTCGTCAAATGGCATACCATCGAGCTCTCTCTAATAATTGGAGCAGGTTACGAGACATTTTTGCATGGCTGATGCAGAATGAGCTTTAAAACTGTTGCAACCTAATGCACTACCTATACAATATTGTCTGACACTACCTAGCCTCGTTGCTTGCAGGAAGAGATTGACTAATACTGTTGTCACGAAAGAAAAAAAAATCTCTCTCTTTATCTTCGGCGAAAATCTGGCAGCATGGGCGTCGGCAGAATTTTGTCTTTTTTTTGGGGGGGGGGGGGCAAGCGCGTGTTGCATCAAAGCTGGGGAATGAGAGAGCGCTGGTAACTTGGTTACAGTGTACTAGAAGTATTCTAATACACTGTAACCAAGTTACCAGCGCTCTCTCATTCCCCAGCTTTGATGCAACACGCGCTTGCCCCTTGGTTACAGTGTACTAGAATACTTCTAGTACACTGTAACTTGGTTGCGGGGAAGTGGTGGTGATAACGGTGGTGCTTTACCGAACATTGTGAAAAAGAATGAAAAAAAAAGCTGGTGTTTTTCTGAGACAAATAGTCAAGGTCAAAAAGAATTCACTATGGGCTTCTGTCCCAACGTGGGTGGAGCTCACTGTGTGCTAGTCACGTTTCTCTGGACTATAAACGTCTATAATCCATTCATCCATAGCACTGGTAAAGAAGCGTTGTTCAGTTTTGAAGTTCTTGAGCACGTTGCTACTTACGTAAATTAGGTACGTGTTGTTTGTTGGCATGCTGTACTGCCCACTCTACATCGCCATCATCCATGCGAATCGAATCGGTGGTGTGGCAATGACTGCACTCTCTTTGCATGGTGGTCTTTTCTCGTTGCTTCTGCTGCACAGACTGCATGGCTGCGGGCGTGCAACAGTTTCGTACAGAGGCGTAGCCAGACATTTTTCTCGAGGCGGATCTGACCCCCCTTCTTGTATGTCCGTGTGTGTGTTTGTGCTTACAGAAAAACGATATAGAAAATTTTCGGTGGGAGGAAAAGTCCCCTAAAGCAACGCCAATGAATTTTGCACTTTAGAAGTAAGGCAGATGCTTTTTTCTGCACTGCATGTTGCATTGTCATTGAGAGCACGTGAAAAAGAAGTTAAAGGGACACTAAAGTCAACTATTGGGTCGACGTTGATTGTTTAAATGGGGGCCCAGAAACCTCGCAGTGTTACTTTTTTGCCAAGGAAGGGCCTATTTTGAAATAAAATCATGTTTTAGTGCTCCGCATCAAGTTAGCGCACTTCAAATTACCTGCCTCAAAAAGCGGACCGACTGGACCGTCTCACGTCAATGTTGCCATGCACAACGTCGCCCGACTTTACTGCGCTAGTAGTACATTGAAAGCAGCGGGAGCCACAGCAGCAACAACGGCCCTTGGTTAATTTCCGGCCATTGGCTTCGAGATTGCAGACGTTTTTGTTTCAACAACGCCTCGATAAATGGCACCATCTGTTCCGTGTAACTACGTCAAAATTTAATTTTTGAACCACTCACGCCATTCCTCATCGTAACGTCCGGTGATTCTGTTTTCCATGAATCAAACAGACACGAACAAGCAGCATTTCAGTGCGTCTCTTAATGCATGGAACGTTCTTTATTTAGTGCAGTTAGATAGATTACTAGTAAACACTTGTAGATGGTCTGTCTGATGTCATCGAAATCATCTTGAAAACGTCCTACTGCGGCGCTTGTCTTCTTGTGCATGTAACTTAATTTCTCGATAAGTAGGGCACTGTTGTTGATAATATTGTCGTTTTAGACGTTGTCATACATTAAGCTTTCACTCTGACGTAAATCGTTGTTTGATTTTAGTGTCCCTTTAAAGCAGAGCGAAAAGAAGAGGCCACTTTTTTTTTAGAAGTAAGTACCTACAACACTGAGCGCTATGCTTACGGGTTCCATCGTAAGTGGTAAAGAGGGGGGGGGGGGGGTATAGTGATTTGAGCAAAGATGGTGAGGGAAGTAAAGAGGAGAAAAAAAATGCTACTAGCTTGGTCCACACACCATTTTATACGAACGGGCAAAGTAATTGTTGAAGCGTGTTTTTTTATATTTTGCTCAGTTGGTCACGCTGGACTGAATAAAGCAATCCACACGCTCCGCTAAGTGTTCAACGCTACTTGACGTATAACAGCTCACACTTAAGACACCTGTAACATGCGTAATATTCGCGATATCACAATTTTACAGTAATTTTGACGTCAAGGACAAATTGAAGGTAGTATGTGTGAATGGTCTCAAGGGTGTGGAGCAACGGAGGTAGGGTTAAACTAAGGTAACGTAATGAAACTTTTGGGGGCGAAGCTCTTTAAGCCGTGGGTCTGTACAAGCATGCCTCTTTTGGTACGTGAC